AAAAACATGAATTATGGAGGTCTACATTGGAGTCTAAAGGCCTTCATTTGAGTAGAACTAAAACTGAATACATGGAATGTAATTTTAGTAGTAGTAGCTCTAGTGGCAGAAGTGTAACTTTGGGTGATCAAATTATTAAAAGGTGTGAAAGATTTTGATATCTCGGGTTTATGTTTCATTACTAATTATTGTTAGGAAATTCATCAAGACAAATTTCTAAATTCAAGTTAGTTGGTTGAAGTGGAGGAATGCTTCGGGCATTTTGTGTGATAGAAAAGTACCGCTTAGACTTGAAGGAAAATTTTGTAAGACGGTGGTGAGATTTGCAATGTTCTATGGCTCTGAATGTTGGCCTTTAAAAGAGAAGCATAATACTAAGTTACATGTTGTCGAGACGAGAATGATTAGTTGGATGGGTGGCTTTACACTTAAAGACAAAATGCAAAATGATTATATTTGTGATAGGGTTGGTGTACACAACAACAAAATTAGAGGAAGTCCTCTTAGATGGTTTGGTCACATTAAGCGTCGACCATTAATGATCCGATTAGGAGAGTAGATGTTTTAGTTTTGACTTATGTTAAGAAAGGCAGAGGTAGACCTAAGAGGACTTGGGCTTATTGTATAAAAAATGATCTTAATTTATTAGAACTAAATGAAAATATGACACAAAATAGGACGCAATGGAGAAAAATGATTCATGTAGCCGACCCCATGTAGTGGGATTAAGGCTTTGTTGTTGTTGTTGTTGTTGTGTTGTTGTTATAATATATATATATATATATATATATATTGATAATTTTCATTTAAAATATGGATCTACCTTCTAATAATGTCACGGGATGCTTCTTTTTAAAATTATTTGATAAGTAATTAATAGTTTGATAGAACTTTGGCCTTCTTGGGCAGCTAAATTGTATTCGCTTTTTTCCTGAAGATTTCTAATATGGATGCTTTCTTTTGTCCTTGGCAAACTTTTGGTGAAATTGCCTTCAGTATACAGCTGAAACATCAGATTTTTTATATGAACTGGCATCCATTTCCTTAAAAAGACATTAAATTTTATAAATATGAAATACAAGTTTTTTATTTTTTGTTCTCAAGTAATGTTTTTTGAGTTCATCTTTTAGGGGATACAATGCAGAAAGAATTTTTTTTATATTCAAGGCAGAAAGATGATTTTCACCTGCTAGAATTTTCGTTAAAAAACATAAATACTAGTAAAAGTGCCATTAGTATTCTAAATTTTATTATCTTATTTTATTAAAAAGCAAGTGCAACTGTCATAATGGTAGTCTGCACCTGGTTAGAAACTGTAGGTTTTGAGAATTAAGCGGAATAATTATATTAGTCTGAAAGAGGTTATAAATACAGGTTGCATGAATTCTAAAATAGGAAAGCCATAACGCTCATATCTCTAAGATTACAATTAATCAATTCCTATTAATTAATCAGAGATAAAAGGAAAGACATAAAATAGGAAAAAATCGAAAATGAAATATATTGCTACTAATAACTTCTAACATTCCCCCTCAAGTTGAAAATTTCAGTCATGTTCATCTTGGATTTGAAATCATCAAACAATGAGCGAGGATGATATTTTGTTAGGTAAAACTTTAAGACTTCATCCTCAAGGCATTTAGAGATACTTCTAGTTGATTGTGGTTGTCTTTGACTGTAATCTTTGCAATTCTTGTAGGTAGGTGGAAGACTGCTACAAATAATGTTGAAGGAAAGTTTAAAGGGAAGCAGACAACCTACGGGGAAAGTTGCAAGGAAAAAAAGAGAAGCTCCGGAGGAGGGCCTGAGAAAAAGCTCAGGAAGAGGGCTTGCTTTAGGAAAAAGCTTCAGAGGAGGGTCTGCTGTAGGAAAAAAACTCACATAACCATTCTCTCGAATGGGCTAAGAGAAAAATATATCATATGCTCTTCATAGCTTTAGCAATTATAAAGACTATATAAGAACATACTGAATGTAGAAGGTAGGCAGAACTAGTCCGATGAAAGGAAAAAAAAAAAAACAAATAAACAAAAACTAGAGTTCAATAGATAAGTTTGGTGCAAAATCCAAGCGGCCATAGAATACAAATAGAGTTGTATTCATCCCTTACCTATAGTCAAATATAAGATTCAAACACATTTTTCTTCGTGCACAGATCAAACTGTGTAATTTTGCTGAATGATATCAATGTCGAGACCCTTCAGTTTCACCACTAAATCTACATGTCCCTTCAATGTATTCAGCTCTTGGAGCTTCGCAACTTCAGCTCGCCGTTTAGCCTGCTCAACTATCTCAGATCTCACGGTAGCTGCTCTTGTCACTTAAGAGGGTGTTAGTCTCAGGAGGCTGTAAGCCATGGAGGCTTCACTGCACCATGACCCATTGTGCCTCCCTTTCTTCTCTGCCATAATCTTTCTTGGACGTGAAGGCAGTCTTCCTTTTGAGAATCTAGCAGAAGATAAACTTCAACGAGTCAAGAGGAAGAAGATGACAATGTAAAGCCAGATAACTCCAGCATCTTCACTTGTTTCTTTGCTAACTTGGCTCCTTGGGGAGTGTGGAAGCCATTGATAAGGTGAGCTGCTGCAGTGCCACTTGGATGGCTCAATTTGTAGTCTAGGATCATGACTTTCAAAGGGGAACAAGAGAAAAGAATCCAATAAAGGGGACATGAAAGAGAAATCCAATCATCCATCCCAATTGTGGATCCTTGGTGTCTTGCGAACTGTGTTCTTCGCTTGATTGCTTTGGTGTCTTTGAACTAATTGCAAATAGATAACTTCCAAAACCACTATTTGATGCAATTCGTAGCAACGACATAGGTCTGGAGCACAGTATTCTCTTGTCGGTGAAATCATTATGAAGGAAACCAAATTTCTCAAGGACCTTCGTCCATGTCTTGGCAAAGAAAAATCTGAGGAGGCCAGCGAAGGCGTTAAGGGAAGGAATGATACGGGTGGTGAGATTGAACTTCATCACATTTATATTGAACATGATGGAGAGGAAGACGCTCACCACCATCGCACGAAACGTAATCTGCTCTCTCCATGGTGGAACCCTCTTTCATTCAAACACCTATTCGATAGACATCATCTCTTCCTCCTCTGATTTTCGGCTGCTTATTTTGCAGTCTCAAACGTATTGTTCTCATCTTTCTTCCCTCTTTGATGAGTCGTCTGACCCTCATCTCTTTAATCACAAAGGTTATCGGTTGAAACAGAGAATGGTGAGAGTTTCAACAGCTAGTTCTTGCAAGAAGGAATTCTGACGGTTAGGGTTTGTAAGGAGAGGAGTTCTGACTTCTAGTTCCTACAGGAAGAAGTTCTAGCGGCTAGAGCTTGCAAGGAAAAAATACCGGTTCTAGGGAATATGAAGTTTTCGGTGGCAGAAGATCTTCTTCTCTTCCGCCGGAGACTTTAGGGTTTTTTCAAGGCTCTGATACTATATAGGTTTTGAGAATTAAGCAAAATAATTTTATTGATATGAAAGGGGTGTAAATACATGTTACATGAATTCTAAAATAGGAAAGACATAACACCCATATCTCTAAGATTACAATTAATCTATTCCTAATAACTACCTGGAGATAAAACGAAATACATAAATATGAAATAACCGGAAAGGAAATAAATATATCAATACCAACAACTCTAACATAAAATAAGAAATGACCGGAAATGAAATAAATCAATACTAATAACTTCTAATCGAAACACCGATCAAATGATGGACAATAATATTCATTTTTGAAAACTGCTAAGCATAAATAGTTTGTTTTTATTTTTAGTATTATGGAGTTACTCAGCATAAAAAGGAATTAAAGAAGTTTGTATGTGAGTAGAATTATAATCTTAAAATAAAAAAAAATTTAACAGTGTACAGTTATGACATGGACAGCACAACACATTTAGTTGATTGCTGATGTCGAAAGTTGTACTGTCTGTTTGAGCCTTGGACAATTAGTTTTAATATCAGTGGTGGAGTTATTTTATAATTTGGACGTCAAGCATCAACTTTGGTTTCTGATTCAATGGTCATGTTTATGTGTGAATGGACAGCTGGATTTTCCCAAATAAAAGATTCCCAACTCGATATCTGATCTCTTTTCTTCCTAAATGTTTTTCTTACTTACATTGGCTGGTTGCTTCACTCATATTAGAAAGTGTATTTGAGATTTATGTTTCAATATAAGAGCTTGCTTATTTCTGTCTAAAAGGATAGCTGAGTGCCGAACTCCTGAAAAGAAGTAGTGAAGTATTATTGTTGATTTATATAGGTTAGAATTACCTTTGCTTTTGCTGCTTGAAGCGGTCATTTATACATACCATCACGTTATCACGGATGGAAGAAGAAAACTTGTATCAGTATATTGATAGTCTTCCTAGTAAAAGTTCATTGAGCCTTAACGGTCAATATGATGAAATACTCAATAGTAATACACTATGTTTCAATTTTTTTCTAGCCCAAATATTTTCCCATGGACTTAGAAAGAGGTTGGAAAAATAATCTTTGATTAACTTTATCTGATGCATTTTCTGATCTCTTTCAGATTGCACCTTCATACTTGCTTTCATGTCCAAAGCAAGGATTAGGTTTGTTGGAGAATTTACTGTTCAAACAATCCGTGCAAAATTATCAAACAGTTCTCAAGGTGATTGAATAGATCATACAAGGTTTACCTTTTGTTCCTAGTGCATGTAAATTCAATTGATGTGTTTTAGTTCTTAATGTTTTCTTGTGTTCCTCTATAGAATCTAGAGATCTGCCAATTAAATGAGCTTTATGGAATTTCTTCTTCCATTAAGAAGGTAATAGTAGCTCGTTGGTCTATAAGTTGTAGGCTCATATGGCCTTCCATTTTAGCCCCCATTTGCCAGGGTTTGTTGGTGGATGTTGATTTTATTCTCTATTATGTTTATTTAATGGGGCAGATTGCTGGAATGCACCATTGGAAACATGGGAGAAAAGGTTTTGGAGTCTATTGGCTCCAAGAAGCTCGTGATGAAGGTAGGCTTAATCGAATTGCTCAACAGCTGTTTGATTGTATTGGGAAATCAATCTCCGATGAAACATTTAAGGTGCTTACTGCTTAGTAGGAATCTAATATTTTGTTACTTTTCGAGTTTATGAGGATTGATATAGTTGCTGATACCTTCTTAAGATGATTTAAGGTTCTTTTAGCTGATTTATTAGTTTTTCACATCTCAATTTATAGTCACATTTTCCAGCAATGGGAGGGACTTATTGAACTGCTTGGTCCTGATGTCGGGACTGCTGGTGGTGTCGGATTTCTTCACAGGTATTATTTGTGTTGTAAAATTCGCCTGTTTTGCCTATAATTGAGGTCATTTATTGTAGTTAATACGACTTTGTTTGTCATCCTCCGAGTTTCTTTCAGATATCGAGATTTTAAGAAATCTCTCAGGCAGGCTAAAATTGGAAGGCTCGTTGGTGCAGCTAAACATACCATTGATTCACTCTTACAGGTAAGAAACATATGGGCATGATACACATAGTTTAAGGCAGTGCACAATTCTTATGTATTTAAATATCTCAAACCTAAACTTTCACATTTACACACAACTTGCCGAGCTCATCAAGATATATTAATAGAATTGTGAAAACTTGTTCATTCATTAATCACTTGAGCTTATGTATAGCCTTTCAACATTTCACAAATAACTCCCTTGACTTCTTTTATATTCTCTATTTATAATTAGGACTTTAAACTATATACAAATTTCAACACCCCGCTCAAGATGGGCAAAAAATATCCACTAAGTCCATCTTGTCACATAACTTAGACAAATCTAATGAGCCAAGTCCTTTTGTGAGACAATCAACTACTTGTTCTCTAGTGACTACATGATGTAACTCCAATAGTTCGTTATTCAGCTTTTCCTTGATGAAGAGCCTATCAATGTCCACATGTTTGATTCTATCGTGTTGCATTGTGTTGTTGGCAATGTTGATTGCTGACTTGTTGTCGCACCACAACTTCATTTGAGCTCTACCAATAAGGTTCTCAGCCACATTATCTCGGCAACTTCTAAGGTCTTGGCCCTATATTCTACCTCTGTTGATGACCTCGTTACTACCGACTGTTTCTTACTCTTCTAAGAGGCCAAGTTGCCTCCTACAAATATGCAGTATCCAGATGTGAACCTCCTATCATCAGCACAACTCGCCCAATTAGAGTCACAGTAGCCCTCAATGCTTATAATTTCATTCTTTCTGAAGATCCACTCCTTCCCTGGTGCACTTTTCAGCCCTTCCTCGAATCATGCATGTAGCGACTCACTATGCTTACTGCAAATGATATGTCGGGACGAGTGTGACTTAGATAGATGAGACAACCTACCAACCTCTGGTACCTCTCTCGATCAATTGACTCTTCCCTCTCTGCACTCAACTTTCCCTTCTGATCAATTGGTGAAACTGTAGGATTGCATCCCAACATACATCTCTCTGTGAGCAAGTCTAGCACATACTTCCTCTGAGATAGGACAATCCCTTATACTCTAGGAGCCACCTCAGTCCAAAGGAAGTATCTAAGCTGGGCCCAATCTCATTTTTAGCAATGCAATCTTCACTCATCATCACCATTGGCTATCATGCCATCCACATACACGACGAGTATAGTGATGTGACCACCATATCATCGAACGAACACTATGTGGCCGACATTGATTTGCTGATAGCATATGTCTACAATTTCTCTCTTAAAACTGTCAAACCAAGCTAGAGGTAATTGTTTCAAACCGTACTGAGACTTCCTCAGTCTACATACCTTGCATACGGTTTGGTTTGTACTGAGGCCTGGGGGTATCTCTATGTACACCTCCTCCAGCAGATCCCCATGAAGAAACACTTTTTTCGCATCCAGTTGGTGTAACCTCTATCCATCATTCACAGCTAGAGAGATGAGAGTTCTGACTATGCTCATCTTCACCACTGGTGCAACATCATAGTCGATGTCATACGTCTGACTATATTATTTAGCCACCAACTGTGTTTTGTAGCCATCAATTTTTCTTTTTGATGTTTTCTTCACTGTGAAGACCCATTTACACCCAATTGTCTTTTTCCTTGTTGGTAGCAAAACAATCTCCCACGTCTTATTCTTCTAGAGAGCATCTAGTTTCTCCGACATTACAATCTTCCACTTTGGATCTTTATTAGCTACCTGCCAACACTTGGGTATAGAGACAATGTCCAAGGATGCTATGAATGCTCCGTATATAGGTGATAAGTTAGAATATGACACAAAATGAGCAATGTCATGTTAGAAACCAAAACGATTAGGAGAATAACGATCAGAAGAATGACCTGCTTTGCTGTGAGAGGTTCTTCTTGAAGTCATGAGAGTGGGAGGAGAAGGGAGAGGATCATATAACATGTATAATCTGATTCTGAGGTGGATGGTGCAGGTGTATCAGGAGTCGGGATAAACCAAGAAGATATGTGATGGCATGAGTGGCACGACGAACAATGTTCCCTCATTTCTTCTTCTCCTTGTATACAGTCTCAGCTCCTCTTGAGCTTGAATCCCACCACTTTCGAGCTCATTTTTCTCGTTGTTCGGCTCTTCCTTTGCTTCATTTTTCTCATTGTCTGGCCCTTAGCAAATCTTTCCCACATAATGGGACAAGACATCGTTCCACAAGTATCAATTTCTTACTATCTCTACTCTCCCCTCCCATCTCATGCCTCCAATATCTGACAAGTCACCAAGGGGGGTGAGATCACATCCAATGAATAGTACGATTCAAATTCTCTAAACATCATATCTATACTCATAAACAATATCTTCTCTATTAGGCTCCAACAAACGTTTCTCTTCTGAGTAATTCACAACTATAGGAACTAGCTTCTATATTGATGGTTTAGTGTCCTTCACAAAACATACTCAATCAAATATCTTCAATGGAAGAATCTCATCATTATCTTCTTCAACAACTCACAAAGAGATTGTCATTTCAATATTCTTGAGGGCATTCTGTTGATCATTTGAGCAGTTGTTAAAATTGTTTGCCCTCACAAGTGCTTTAGGACGCTCATCGAGATCATCATGCTTCGGGCTACCTTTAGAAGATATCAATTCTTCCTCTCTGCTACTTCATTTTATGTCGGAGTGCATGGACATGTGGTTTGATGTTGTATCTCTTGAGCTGACTGGTACTCGTCAAATGCCTTATTGGATTTGAATCACCATGTGAAAGTGTTTAAAGAAAGCAAACACATCACTTTTGTTCCTCACCAGATATGGCCAAGTAACACGAGGAAAACAATCAATGAACTTCACAAAATATCTATAATCATTCATCGAAGTTGTAGAACAAGGCTTCCATCAGAATGTATCAAATCGAACACATTAGAGTTCTTATTCTCAGAACTTACATAAGAGCTCTTAATGAGCTTGCCAAACTCACAAGCAACACACACCAGTTTCTCCTTGTTTGCTTTTTCATGCGAGGATGGATACAAACAATTCAGTAGATTGAACGTAGAATGTTCCATGCACCTGTGATGTAGTAGCAATACATTGTCCGCACTCCTCTCAAATCCTTCTGCTTCTGCATTCTCAACCATGTTAACCAAGGTTGAGTCTGTCCCCTCTCTATCAAAGTACTAAACTCTTTTATGTCACCGGCCAGTCCCAAGTCTTCGGCCAATCCCCTTCTCTTGAAAGATTACCTTAGGAATATCAAATGAAATAACACATTTTAGTTGAAGAATAAAGACACTAATAGATAAAAGATTCACTGGAAAGGAAGGAGCATGTAAAACATTGAACAAAGTAATATAATCGGTAACCCTCACTGCACCCTTACCAATCACATGTTGTGTTGTACCATCAGCAGTCTGAATGCTCTCTGGAATGCTAGATAAGTGTAGGAAGAGAACTTCCTATCGTTACCTGTCACATTTCGATATGCACCAAAATCTACAATTCATTTTGATGTTCTTGTGGAGGATATAGAAGCAACAACATGTATATCACGGGTATCTTAGGTTGAGTGAACATAAGTAACAATGTTGCCCTTAGATGGCAAAAAGGTGGATGCATCATTAGTTACATTATCTGACGCTCTCTACTTCCTCTTCAACATTTCCAGAAACTCGTGATCTTCATTAGTAAAGTCTATCATTGTCTTTCCCTCGTTCTTTGCTACCATAATATTTGTCTTGTAACCTCCTCTTCCACCCCTGGGCCCCTATGATTACAAACACGGCCTCTAGTTTGTTCACGTCTACCTGTCTCTCTCTCCTTGGGTGGGTTTTGACAAACCATGCTCAAATATCCCATTTGTTTGACAAAAACATCCCTCGGGTGGTCGAATCCTTTGGTAGCATCAGGGAGGCGACCTTCCACTGGAATCTGAGGATTGTCCTTCATGCCAAGGTGAAAGGGAATTTTAGGCCCTCCAATAGCTTTAACACCAACAACACCAACAAACTGGTAAAAAACAGCATATGAGAGAATAGGAAACCGCTCCTTGATCTTCTCTAACAACCTAACAGCAATATCCAGCCATTGTTGGCACCATGACAACTCCTTGTGCGTCCACGTTCCAAATGGAACACCAGTCTTCGTCTCCACATCGTAAGCCCCAGCCGAATGTCATGGCAAACAGAGCATGATCAATGCGTAATTCTTCTTAGCAACGATTCCATGGAGCTTCCTCTTGGCTTTTTCAAAAGCCTTCTTGTTCTCTTCACTGACAATGGGATATAACCCTGCTATTCTTGATCGAACTGATAAACTTAGAGAGAGAAAATCTAGCTCCAACCTCATGCTACACAACACGCCTAGACCACGTTCCTCCTTGCCTCGCAATAACCCGCTCCTCTCTGAGCAGAAGCGCACTTCTTGCGTTGAAAACCCGCACGATCTCTTCTTTCCTATTAAGCCGCGAACGCGTCGTTGCCTTCTCAGTTAGCTCTAATTGCGATTGTATCCTTCGAGTCACGCTGCAATCCCTTCTCCACTTCACAAGCATTAGGCCGTGCTCCCTTATTGACACTGTCGAGTTGATCGGCGAATCGAGGTAAGCAACAACGGCATCACAGCTCATAGGGACCGCTGAAGTTTCATCCTCTTTAAGGAAATTACCACCGACCGTTGAGGCAACGGCGAAAGCGTGCAATCATCTTTCTCGTTTTATGTTCTCGTCTCCTGCGATCACGAGATAGTTTTGATGGCAACGCAAAGACGAAGAGTGGACGCGTTAGGGTTGGCTCTAATACCAAATAGAATTGTGAAACTTGTTCATTCATTAAGCACTTGGGCTTATTTATAGCCTTACAATATTTTGTAAATAAATCTCTAAACTTCTTCTATATACCCTATTTACAATTAGGACTCTAAACTAGATATAAATCTTAACAATATCCCACCACAACAAACTGGTAATGTAGATTCCATCAAGAGATATCCCAAATGCTGGAGTCTTCTTTACCGAGTAAATTTTTCCTTGAATACTGTGAATTCGCTAGGGATTTAATCACGTAAAGACATGGAATTAGTTAATGCAGTAAAACTACTTTAGCTCCTAAATGTTAGGGCTGTTGGACTTCAAAAATTGATGGGCCAGATTTCTTGTTTTGCTTTCATTTTTGTCAATTTTAGTTACCATCAACCGGTCTAGAAGGAAGAGCTGTAAACTTTGTTTTAATGTGTATGGCAGTTTATAACATGGTTTCTGCTGGTTGAGCTTGTTGTGTGATGGTTTTAAGACAGGTCAAAATGGAATAAATGCTGTTTAGAAATTCATTTAGAAACATATATCTAGTGTAAAAGGCATTAGTTAATATTGTGACCGATAAGTAATTGGGATTGAATCTTCATTTGCTATAAGGAGCAGTCTATTGCATTTTTCTTTGCGAGAGGCATTTGGTTCCATATAAGCTGATTGCATTTACTTTTCTGCCCTGGAATGCTAAAAGAAAAAAAAAATCCTCCTTTTTGGTTGAGCATTTTTATGGAAAGCAATGCAATCATCCCCAGTTGAAGTTCTACATCAGGCACGCTGAATGAGCTTCAAGCTCCAGGAAATCTCATCAACTTCATTTATTTTGTGCTCAATCATTTATTGAACTCTACGTGAATGTGAAATAACATGACTTTATGCTAGTATTCACAATGCAATGGCAGCAATCAAAAGCTCGTGTAGCCCTTTATGAGAGGTTAAGAAATTGTAGCTTTTCAAATTAAATTTTGAGAGTTTAAATGAATAACTAAGGCAAGAAATACACAGGATTAAACTTATTGATTGGTTAAAAAGCTGAAGTATAGAATTCAGTGAATGGTGGAAACTCATGGAACAAAGACGGTTCAAGTAAGAGAAGATAATGTTAAATCAAAGCTGTGATGAAACATCTGTTTGCGGCCTCGAAAGAGTATAACATAACCACAAACAAGCTTGTTATTTGGCTGCAATATTGCTATAATTAGGCTTATGGAGATGAACATTAACAAGTGTCATCGTGAACTATAATTAGGCATCTAAAGATGGTTATTAACAAATATCATTTGAACTATTGTTGAGACTCTATGTTCAATGTTTAATTTTTGTTGCGTGTTTGTTGGTCCAAGCCTCTGTGAAGTGTTGAAGCTTTGTTTATCTTGTTGTCTAGAGTACATCAGGATAGAAATGCTTTTTTTCTCTTTCCCCAATATCATAGCGATTACGCTCTTTACCTTCTCACATTTAGTTTCAAATGAAAAAACACTTTTTGTAATGGGTTTGCTATTTATGGCTTGATTTTGCGGAAAATTCTGCATGAAGCTTATGAGCATTTTATTTGCAAATTCTGTTCTAGAAAAGAAACCAAGGTTCATATTTTTTGTGTGATTGTTGCAGCTTATGAAGAGTCCTTCCACGCCACAACGATTCTGGCTCCCTCTTCTTCATGACGCGGTTAGTGGAATAGCTTAAAATACTGCATGATAACTAACACTTTGTACTGACTATTATTTCAATATAGTAGAATTCTTTGATTCTGCTAATTTTAAATTAGTTCTAACATCTGCTTTCACTGTCCTTGTTTATGAACTCACAAGCAATTGAAAATTAATGCTTTAGGAAGGACTGTTATCAAAATAATGCAATGATCCAGATATCTTTTTAATTTGGATAAAATTGAATCAAACAGCTCTTTAGTACGTAGTTAATATAAGTAAAATGCAAAATATAAAGACCCATGCATTATGTATTGTTAGTTTTGTGTGCATATTATTATATTCCTTTTTCTATTGAGGCTTTATTGGAGTATTTTTTTGTCTGCGTTAAGCATTAATTACTCAATATTGCGGTACTTTTAGTGAAAAAAGTTTGTATATTTTATTTTGTAAAACTTCTTATTGATACACCAAACAATCGGGAAGCATGTCTGTACCATCAAATTAAAAATATGCTATAAATCCATGTTTATAGTTTAATTTAAATTTGTTCAATGATTCTTGTATAGAATTCCTGTAAAGGCATTTTTTTCAGTAATTTTAATTCTCTTTTCAAGTATAGTTAATTTTTTATTTTAATTTATTTGAATTTTACTATCACGTATTTCTGTTGGGCTATATGGAAACTGTGAAAACAGTCCCATTATTAGAAATATCAGAATAATTCCATTTAATAGCCAATCTTTCTTTCCTTACCGGGCAATTAATGTTTATTTGTTTCAATTTTTTTTTTTTTTGTTACGACTTCCTTAGAATTCAAGTTTACTTCTCCTGCTTGTAAATCCAGATTCGGTTAGTTTTGTTTGAATAAAATAATTTATTTGTTTTTGATGATTATTCATCAAAAAAAAATTATTAGTGATTTTATATGATTTGAGTTTTATGGTGATTTTATATTTTGAGCTTATATTGTCTTAGGCTTAATGTTGAACTTAGATTATTATGGAACCTCTTATTGAATTACATGTTGCATGAGATAGACATAAGAGATTTGACTCGAGTACTATGATCATCTTGGATCCTCTTAAAGATTGGCCTGACTACTTCATCACTGATGGAGATCCTAAATGATTGATTTCCTCCGGAATGGGCTAACACAACTTTATGTTGAGGATTCAACGAGTCGCAAATCCATATCTCGAGTCGGGAGACGGCAAAATTTATAGAAGATTGGAAGATAAGATATTGGCACGAAATGGATTTCAACACATTGCAAAGGTGCATTTATGAATGTTTTAAGTGAATGTTTTTGTGAAGTAGCCACTCTAGTTCGAGAATCAAGATCATTTCTTCCGTGTCGAACTTACGAAAGTTTTTTATCATTTGACATATGCTACCATGGCATGTTATTGTAGACTAGTTGTATTTTTTCTTGATTGGGTTTTATAGAGGGTGGAGTTTACAGTTTTTTTTTTATTTGCATTGACCAATAAATGATAATATCAACTATATCTGAATAAATATTTTTTGCAGCTATAATTGAATCCTTCTGTTGTGATTTTGCACAAACTATCATGAAAGAATTTGAAATAATTATGATTGCTAAACTTAACTCTTTTCTTGAGCTATAGATTAAGCTAAGGAATATGATATTTTAGTGTCTCAAACTACATATATCATTGATAATATTATAAGGTATGTTTTGAGAAGATTCAAATCTATAAGAACTCTTATGAGCTCTTCGCGAAGTTATATAAAAATAAGAGGCGGATCTATAGATTCTAGGTGACATAAAGGCTTGACATGTCTTTGCTGTATCCTAAAGCAGCTGTCTTAGCATCTTGGTTGCTGTTTATCTGTGATCTAGATTTTAGGGTGATCCTATGTAATTAAGCAAATCTTGTAGATCCTATAGATATATAGACATTAGCCTTATGATATTCCTAAAATGTATGCTCTCATGTAATTTTAGTTTTATTGATGAAAAATTTTTTGTTTGCAAAATTAATTAAAAAAAACTTCAAGAACTTATCCATTCCTAGAATTGTAGTTTTTGTCCTTGTAAAGTAGGCTACAAATATTTGTTCTTTGATCAAGATAGATGTAGCGGATGTTGTTGCAGTTGTGTTGCATGTTTATGGTGGCTATGGACTTGATCATGCCTATGAATGGTGTAAACTTTGCTTTTTCAAGCTATCAGAGAAGGAAGTGAATGCTCAACGGTTTAGATAGTGGCGAGGAAATATTGTGTTGTGGTTATTTTATGAGAAGACATGACAGATTTATAATGGGTCGGTCTGTAGATCTACATCCACTTTTAAAGCAGGAAAGGCAATTGATCTACTTTAATGAGTCAGGCAATTGATCTAAAAATGATCCCAAGTGTTCATATAACTTTATTGGCAACTCTTAGAGGAAGAGGAAAGAGAAGGGATGAAATTTTATCATATAGAGGAATTATACTCGGGAGGAAATTACAAGATGCTGTATTCAGATGAAGCATGCAGTAGAGTAGATAGTATTTTGGCGGCACTTGTAATTTTACATGATTTTGACAGAAGGATCCTTTTGACTTTTAATAGGTTTACTAGATGTGGCTCTCAACCTTTGACGGGTGCTTGAATGCTATTGTTGAGAAGAGAGAGTTGTCGTAGAGTTGCAACTAGCATTGTAGGAAAGCAGGCAAAGAGAATACTAATAATTCAATGATAGTGTTAACTACCCATGTTTTGTAAGTCTTGGCAGATCCTTGGGTTTACATAATTGTGTAGAGCTCTTTGTATATAGGCTTTTAATGATGCTGAGCTAGTATATCTATAATTATGTTGAAAAATGTCCTGCAATGCGTTAATTAGTGGTTGATAATCGGGATGTGAACAATTTTTTAATAAAACACCAAATTTTGTGTTTGCATCAGTTTGCTTTATGTGGCAACTCAGCGAGATAACATGGAACTTGATTGTGGAGGTGCTCTGGGACGGCTAGGAATAAAAATAATAAAGTGCTTGTAGCATTTCAATACCTCTAGTACCACATGAGCTATACTGGAGTACACATTAAGTGTGTGAAACGGGAGTGCAACGTGTATTTAAACTTTTTACAAAATTTGTTAATTAAAATCCCACATAATTTATGCAAACTAAAGTGGATTTAAGAATAAGACTAAGCTTGTGGAAGTTAAAGACTTTCAACGAAAGCAAAAAAACTACGCAAGATTTGTTAGGTCTAGAATTATAAGATTAAGCTATATGTGTAAATTTGCTCTAAATTGCAATGTCAAATTAGATAGATTTTTATAACAACACATGAGCTATATTAATTATGTTAATTTACTCCAAAGCTATCAAAACTAAATCAAATACAAGTTATGATGAAGTATAAACATGCGTATTAGAGTTAATTTTTGATAATTTCATATAAACTTCACTCTATGAGAGTAGGCGCATATTGCATATAATTCATTTCCAAGCAATTTAACCAATTAATATGTGACATTGGATCACTACAAATAAAATAAATCTATTGATATCTATGCGCACAAGTAATTTGTATCTGCTTTAGGAAATCTCCTGGTCTGCAACCACACTTAGCTAACCACCAAGATGGGGATTCTATTAGTGTAATAGGTATAAAAATCGTATTCAATTGGACAGATCATTTGTCCGCCAAAATACGCATCTTTTGGCCAAATTGCAATTCAAACACATTTCCTACATTGATGCAACTTTTGGTTTTCTTCATTGTGTGAGTTCAACTCTAAACTCTTTAATTAAGAGATTTTTTTTCTTAACCCAAATTTTCCAAAAGTTTTGAGTGATCAGAAGCTTCATTTTATTCTTTGTTAAATTCTTAATGGTAACTTACTAGAAAAACCTTACGTAAAAATTTTTAAAATAAAATCTTAAGCAAGTTACTTAATATAAGAACTCTTATAGATTTAAAATGTTACCAATGCAAAGAGCACAGTCATGGAATAGATGGACAATTTAGAACTTTTTGAAAGTTCCCTCGGTTGATTTTTCATTCGTGCTCCCAATGTTATTATCTTATTATATTTTTCTTTTTCCTTAGTATTTATAGCCCTCAACAACTTGTTAATTTAGTACTAAAATATTTGAGAAAAACCTCAAAATATCATTTCAAATTAGGTTCCAACGACTAGCACAAAGCATAATAAGAATGTCCAATGGCTAACATGTAAAATTGAAGAAAACTAATATTTTAGAAAGTCAGAATAATTTCATTGAATCCAAATTAGTTCATATAACTCAAAGTCACATTTAAAGAATCCAATGGAGTAAGAATTAAGCTCAAAGTTGACAACTTTGAAATAATTTATTCTATTATATATTCTTATTAACATATTTTTAAATATATTTAATAAGAAAAAAATTTGAAATACCAAGTAAATAGTTGCTTGCGCGCACACTCATATATATATAGATAGATAAATTCTAGGCCCATTGAAAAAATTCATAAGAATTACAACAATAAAAAGCCTTTATCCCACTAAGTGGGGTTGGCTACATGAATCATTTTTCTCCTTTTTTTTTTATTTTTATCATCTCATCATGAAATGAGATAAATCCTTTTTCTCTATTATGTCCTATTGAGTCATATTTTCATTTAATTCTGATAAATTAAGTTCATTTTTTATACAATATGCCCTGATCTTTTTGGGTCTACCTCTATCTTTCTTAACACAAATAGAATATAAAACTGGATCATTAGATGGTCGACGTTTAATGTGACCAAACCATCTAAGACAAGTGAAATAAATAAAAATAAAAAAATAAAGCATCTCTTTCCCATCTTGTCTATAATTGGAGCTCCACGGTCCATTTCACGAATATACTTGTTTTGCATTTTATCTCTAAGTATAAAGCCACTCATCCACATAAGCATTCTTATTTCAGCAACACTTGATTTTATGCTTCTCTCTTATAGGCCAACATTTTGCGCAATAAAGTATCGCAAGTCTCACCACCATCTTATAAAATCTTCAACTCTAAGCAAAAATTTTCTATCACACAATAGGCTCGATGGATTGCTCCACGTCAACCATCCAACTTAAATTCTACTAATAACATCTCCATCTATATCACTATCGTTTTGAACAATAGACCCGAGATTTCTAAAACGTTCACTCCTTTTAATGATTTGATTACTCATTGTTGCAACTCTGCCGCTTATCTACTACTATTGAAATTACATTCCATATATTCAGTTTTAGACTCAAACAAATGTCTTTAGACTCTATAGTTGACCTCCATAATTCACTTTTCCATAACTCTTTCTCTAAACTACAAGAAGAATATCATCAGTGAAAAGCATACACCAAGGTACATCGTTTTGTAAATGTCCAGTAAGAGCACCCATAACTAAAGTAAAAAGATGTGGGTTTAAAGCCTATCTCTGATTTAATCCAGCTGAAATATGAAAATACTTGGTCAATACTCCTATTCGAACACATCTTTAGTAGGCGTATCTTTAATGACTTGAATATAAGTCATATCAACAACTTCCTTTTATGTAAATCCTTCTTAGTCTATAAAAATCAAGAACTTCTCTTAGAACGTTATTGTAAGATTTTTCTAAATCAATAAAAATCATATGTAAATCCTTTTTATTCTCTCCGAACTTCTCTATCAAACGTCTCAATAATGTATAGTTTCCATATTAGACTTGCCCATGAAAAATTCAAATTGTTTATGAGAAATCTTTGCAATTTGTATTAACCTTTATTCAATTACTCTCTCCCTTAATTTTTATCTATGACACATTAACTTAATTCCTCTATAATTTGCACGCAATTTTGCGTTCCCTTTATTAAAAATAGGGATAAAAATACTCTTCCTCCACTCTTTAGTCGTCTTTTGAGTTTTTAAAATATTATTAAACAGTTTAGTAAGCTAAGAAAATTTCAAATCTCCTAAATATTTTCACACTTATATTCCCACCATTCATTTTGATTAATGCTTCGTCAACTTTCTTTTTGCTAATGTGATGGTAGAAATAAAAAGATTTATTATTATTAACGATATTAAGATTACTAAAATCGATCGTCTTTTCAAAAAAATTATAAGAAATAAACTTCTTTTTATGTTAATAGACATATTTATATTTAAAAATATTTTGTAGTCACCCGCAATGGAAGCGAAGGATTATACAGAAGTCCTTGAAAGCGAAATGGAAGCTAAACTTTACATTAGACGGCTAGGGAGGGTGGTGTAATGCCATCAAAGGCATCAACGACAGGAAATAGTATAGCATGAGTGAGAATGAGAAGATCTCAGACCATGCTCAACGAGCGGCTATTAGGAAAGACCAAACATAGAGAGGAAGCCATTTGGGACAGTTAGATGAGGTCCAAACCAAAGACTGAGCCCAATGCTGTGCGGGCAATTTCACTGACACAAGTACAACATGCGGGGCAGTGAGATGTAATGAGAAAGCTGACGTGCATGATGAAAGGCCACAGAACCGACGATCAGGTGTGGCTAGCCATAGAGAAAAGTTTTGAATAATCTGTAGGTTCATAAGCTTCTTTTAGCTAATTCAATCCATCTTCTGACTCATCATGTTGCTTGACCGATTAATTACTCTGACCTGATGTTGGCCCAGTCCAACTGCCATCTTTAGCAAATTAGTCACATCCCCATCTGCTTCATTGAGCACTGGATCCGGATCCAATGTGCTCCCAAACCCATACCATTGTATCTTCTTTCTGGTGATTTGATTTCGCCCATAATTTATGTTTCTGCCTAATGGTGATAAATTGTCTTTTCATAGAGATAAATTCTTTCTCAGATTATTTTGTTTATAAATTGTTCTATGTTACCTTTTATGAAGGAATAAAAAGAAGAGAATAGTGTCAAAATGGTTTCTGAGTCTTTGTAATGGTTTCTGAGTCTTTGTCAGGGGTCATTTTAATCCCAGAGTCTATAAAAATGTCAATTTAGTCCCCGGGCCCTTTTAAGGGGGGTTAAAATGATTCTAAATAGGGTCTATTTCAGCTCATATGAAAAGATTGAACTAATGTAACACATTTGTAGACCGAACTAAAATGTCCCTATATAAATAGTACGTATTATTTTGGCATTGTGAAAAAAAAAAAATGTTCATCATTTGTTCCTTTTTTTTTCTTATTCCATGTAAATCATTCAATTTTTGGATTGATTCTCTAATGATTTAGATGATAGTGATCAAATTCTCTTTTATTATTTTAGGTTGAGCTGTTAAACTGGAAAGATCAACCTCTTCTGAATGTTTTCGAAACAAATTTCTTGTTGAAGAAACTGCAAGAGCTATCCATGGCGCAGTTACGTCCAGATTTCTCCCAGGCCGATTTGCCTCCTGAGGCGCTGACCCAAATTAGACTGGCCCTCGCCACAAATCTGTCCCGAGCTTTTCTTGAAGAATGATTAACAAAAAATTTATATTATGAGAGTATATAAATGCTAAATTTATTTTATGCTTTTTTTAACTTGGGAAGATTTACATGCATGCTACTCAGTTTCCATGTATTTACATATCTAATAGCTAAATTTCAATTTTGATTGCATGCCACCTTACATATGCATGAAAAGGCTTCTTTTTTATGTGATATGAAAGATTTGGGTGGTATAATATAAAAGATAAAGTTTAGGTGTTAGATATGTAAATACATAGCTAAAGGGGGCTATGTATGCCCCCTTCTATATATTTAATGTTCAGTATTACTACCTTAAGCCACTCTGATATTGCATGCTGCAGGTTTCAATCATTGCTTACTCTTTAGTTCAGCTGCAGAATGAACTCAAATGGGATCTCCAGTGTGTTCTCTTAACTCTCTAAATTTCCTTCTAAATCATAATTTTAGATTGTTCTGCATGTTTTGGAATGTTGTGTTCTTTTATAACTAAATGTTGTTGTAACGTTGACTTTTCTCAAGCTTATGTTTTTTTTGCTATTATAGAAAATTTAAAATTTAGACAGTATATATCATGCAAATAAAATTGCAATTAGTAAGTTCTACATGTCCAATTTTTTAAATACATATTTTCACAGAACATTAACACTCATAATACATCAAAAAAAAAAAGTGCTTTGTAAAATTTATTATTGTTGCATAAAAATTAAATCATCAATTATAAGAAATAATATATAAAGAATTATATAGTTGGGTGTAAAGTGAGCCAGCCAAGTTTGAATCAAAAAAACTGCTTGAATTAATGTTCAAACTCCTTAAAAAAAATGAATTTAAGATGTTTAAATTCAAGCCTTCATCATTTATATACAATAAAAATATAAAATTATATAGTGGATTGATTTAAATTTAGAAACAATTATGTATAATACATTATTTTGTAAATGATATATATAATTTTTTTTTTATTTCTACTTGAAATTATTTGTGTTCAGCTCCGTTTATAATTCAGTTTAAAAAATTTATTCATATCAAGTTTTCTTGCTTAACTAATCAATCAATTAATAAGCCAAGCAAACCTAATAATGCTAAATAATAAAATAGCAAACTAAGTTAATGAAATATAAGTGGATTATTTAAGAAACCATAAATTTACAACGAATGTTGAACAATTTCAAATCATTAATAGAATGACTAAAAATAAAATAAAATTAATGTTGAGCTACATCCAAAGTCTCTGACTGCAGCAAATAATCTTCTTTATGAGCATTTTCAAACGCCTAAACATCCTTTATTGAAGTGTTTCAATTCTATCATATTCCCAGTATTCTAATACACACTGATCACAAGGAATTCAACTTGAAAAGAAATGACATAAATATTTGTTTTGCAAGCACAAAAAGATCCATGTAAACATCCCTAATAACAAATTGAGGATACTGTAAACTTCTGGAGAAAAAAACTGCAAATATAAATTTCATTTTACTACAGTGAACCAAAACAGTATTGGACAAATTATAGCAAGATGCAGTCTTCCTCTTAAACAAAATTTGATGTAATACGGTTTCTTTAGGAAAAAGCAGACCAGCTCTCAGATACTATTTATTTTTCAATGGGTTATTTACATAAAAAAAATGAATAGAAAACAATGATTTCTGAACCCCAAAAAAGAAATAATAAACAGAAAAATTACAACTTATTCTTCACTGCAAATAAGCTCTATAGTAAACCTAACCTCCCACCCCAAATTCAAACTAAAATTAAGCCTGTGAGATTGAACCGTGGTCTTATGAATTAAGAGCCTTTGGGCGATGATGGCTTCTGGAACTGGATTTCTTGTGCCTGAGTGGGAGTTTCTTCAATGGAGGTCTTGGAAATCCATTCTGAAGAGCAGGTTTAATGGGTGAATCTTTTGTGGGCATTAATGGGGGAGACTTTCTCAAAGCAGCAAGTGCTTTCCTCTGCTCTAGCAAGTCTCTATGGTAAGCCTGCAATTTACACTTAAGAAATGAATAATGGCCTAGACCAACTCGTTTAGCTTGTGTTTCGGTCTTATGTGTGTGTTTACTTATCTAACACAAACTTTACTTTTTTATATTTATGCCACCCAAATCTTTCATATCACATAAGAAAATATCACTGTTTTAACTTTTAAAATGAGAAACACACATTTTCATGCATTGGTGAGGCGTCGTATAAATAAAAATTAAAGGGTGGATATGTAAATACATAAGAATTGCCTGGTATCTTCCTTTTTTCATTCATTGAATCTTTAATGTGAGGCCATTTGCATCCAACTCTTTCGCTTATCATTTTGTATTTCAAAAATTTACATACATACCATACACCCCTATGTATTTATAGATTAAACACTTGAAGTTTGATATTTTTTATAATATTTTGCTGTCATAAATTTATACAAAAAAGGTGCAATTTACTTTTTTAAAGTTAGTAATAATGATACTTTTTATATGATGTTAAAACTGAGTTCTGCCCATGCAAATATGAAAGTTTATATGTTAAATATGTAAATAGATAAAAATTATGTGGAACATACCTAAATGGCCCAATTTTTTTTGTATTTTCTGCTTTCCTTTCTTTGCTACAGAAATATTGAAATGAAGATTTGCATGAATACTACACAATTCATAGATATTTACACGTCTAAAATCCAAACTTTAGTCTTACATTTTATACCATTTTACCTATATGCTTCAAAAGGTGTGATTCACTTTTTAAAAGTTAGTGTATTTTTTATGTGATGTGAAAGATTTGAGTTTTATAAATGTAAAAGTTTAGGTGTTATATATATAAATACCTATCAATTATGTGGTATGTATGTAAATGGCCCTCATATAAAAAATGCTCTACAAAATTACAGCATAACTGCTACAATCATAAATATGTCGTACCTGAATGACAAAATTCCGCCTTTCACAGTCCATAAACATGTCCACAGTCCAATTCACTTTCAGCCTGATTCTGTCCCTAACAGTGCTAAAACTGAGTTGGTCTCTGGACGTGAAACGATCAACTTCGTTGAACCAGATGCAGGTGAAGAGATTGGTTATCGGAATATGTTCTCTAATGATCACACAGCCTTCAGGTACATCTGCAAAAAGAAGCAATTAAACAGTGTCACTCTTCTCAGAATAGTAAAATAATAACAATGATAATAATAAATAGAAATAAATAGAGTCTTCTCAGATTAGCCATCGCAAGCGCTCAAGATATTGGACACTTACCGCTAGTAATGGGGAGTTTTAGCTCCGAATAATGAGTCAGGCCTTCCCTCTTATAAAATTCTATTTGATAATCAATGGAAGCATTATTATATTTTCCTGCAGCTTTATTGGCCTCTGCTTCCTCAAAAACATCGAAGCGTCTATAGTGCCGGGATATAGCAAAACTGGCATGCCTCCGCCATAAGAACCTGTAGGACCAGAGGCATATAAAGAATCAGTATGATAATATGTCCAATCATGCCATCCATATTTTCTCTTGAGAATTTAAAGCCTTTTTTTTTATATTTGGTTGTTTAGTCAGTTCATGTCATTTTATGCCTGGTTCAATTGCAATATCTCTTTGAAACCACTTTGGTCGATTAATGTCAGGATATGCCCTGCTCGATCAGAACGCCATTTTCTTATTGTTCTTTAGGCATCTCATGTCGCGATATGCTCAGCTCAACTAAATCACAATATTGATACTTTGGTTTATTTATCTCAGGACCGTTCAACCAAATTATCATTTCTTACATTTTTGACGAGTCGGTTCATGTCAAGATATGACATGTTTGGCTTGATCATTCATATAGACACCCAACACACTCACCACTTGGAAAAGACATTCACTAAGAGACCAACCCAAAGATACACAAATTTATCCTCTACCATGTGATTCGGTCACCTCAATTTATGGATTGACTTTTTGAGTTGACATTTTGAATGATGAAATTATGTTAAGATATACCTGACCAATTCATTTCTCAAGTATATGATATGAAGGCAACAAGTGTATTGTGACTTATAGACATAACACACTTGTTGGGGTCCATTTATTGTCATCGTTATTGTGCAACACATCTGTGACCATGCTTAGTCAATCTCGACCACTTAGTGGTGGTACCAATCAATAAATTACTATTACACATGTAAGTTGCTTCATGCCATTATTTCTACTCAATTTTGAGTTGTGTTGTATTGTTTTCATCGTCAAAAATGGTTATGCATGCACACATGTCATCTTTAAATCATAAAGATTTTACGAGAAATTTGCGCGAGCGTACTTTTATGCTGAAAAAATTCATCCACGTAAATTTTTTTTATATCGATAGATCGTTTCACAAGACGGATTGCACTACCGTATTTAACTAGTTGAGACGATCAGATTAAGCCCTTTCAGGTTTGATTTGGACACCATTTGACACTGTTTGGATTGAATATTTTTGTATTGAAAGTAATATTCATGAACAAATAGAAATATATTTGGCGATCATGTGCTCCTCTAGTTCTGTTAGCTTGCACTTTAGCAACAGGTGGCCGAATTGGGTCGTGAACTCCTCAACTGATAGATCTCGTTGTTGCAAGTTGTGGAGTTTCAGGAACATGTCCGGGCGATCTGTGGTGAGAGGTATTTCTTTTGCATCGTCTTCTTCACCTTTTCCCACAGTTATCTTTCACTTCTCTCCTCCTTTGTCTTCGTAGATTTTCCCACCATAAGGAGATATTCTTCTTTAAATTAATTGTAGTCCTCTGGTATGTTCTTATAATTGAAGATTCATTCAAATTGATTGCGGCAAGTTAATAAACTCATCGAGTTCCATGCTTCCCTCCAACTCTGGAAGGTCTATCTTGATGCCAGTCCTACTGACCTCCATAAAGGGTTCCTTCTCTCGGTCTCTTTTGATATTGGATACCAAAGCTACTAGGATTTGGTATATCTGTGTGTGTGTGTGTAATTTTCTTAAATTCAAATGAGCCCTGAAACAATCAAAACAATTGTGAACAAATGTTGTGTAGAATGAGCAGTTGTGGGGATGCCTTCAAATTCAACTTTCCAGCAATAACCGTGAGAAAATGTGCTAATCTACATTTCCTTTTGAAACATAAAAATAACATCAATTTCTACAAAGGCCATAGCCATCAAAGGCTTAAAAAGATGAGAGACATCGCAACATCTACTTGCAAAGATGTACCAAAAATAAAACTCAAATAGAATAATATAACGGATTGATTTAAATAGTGCAAACATAACCTACTAAAAGCCACCCATAAAAGAGTGATAGATATTTCCTCAACAACATGAAAAAGGGAGACCTCTTCAACATTTATAATTAATGTTAGAACTCTATGTTAATATAATTAGAATTTGACCTTACACCATGGTTCATAGATCATACAAAACCATGATTATCAATAAAAGAATAATCTACATCATTGGAGGTCCTCATCATCTTCATCAACAACAAGAAATGATAACAATGAAATTTATCCAAGAAATCCAATGAGGAATCGATCACCTGATGAAGATCGGATTTTTTTTTCTTTTTTTTTTAATCCTTGCACATGAGATGTTTTTTTAGATAAATTTAAGTTTTACTTGGTAACTCCCGCTTTATCTAATTCACGACCCTTGGATGCAATCCTAGGTGCAACTCCTGCTCTCTCTTTGCCGGCAGATCTAGACAGAATTTCTTTCTCTATCAAAAACACTAGTAAGGAACAGAGACCTCTTAATGGTTTCATGATAGATTCTTAATTATTTTGTATAAGAAATCCTAGTTCTAACTTTTATCTTTTTATTTCCCGAGCACTTCATCTACCTAAAAACTAAAGATCCATAAACTCCTCACAAAACCTAGGTATATAATTCCATAACTATCTTGTTATACCTGCACCAAGATTTAAAAGGAACTCTTCAGTTTCTCTCTTAAGAGTTGGGTTCAGCCGATGATATTTAGAATATATTTCTTAGATAGATAAAATTTAAAAAAGGCGTGCTGGTAGATGGATGGTGTATGCAATCTCACCACTATATTTCTTGAGAGGCTTTTCTATAATTTATTATTGGGCTTTCCAAATTACATTAAGGCAGCATAACTACTGCTGCAGAATCATCCCAATTAGATAAAAAAATGTACAAGTAAAAGTTCAATTTTAAGAGGATTGCTATATAGCACCTCATCATCTCCCCCCCCCCCCCCCCCCCACACACACGCTTAAGGAACAGTTAATTTAGAAAGAAAACAGATGAAATACGATACATGAGAAATGATTAAATCATAATATAAATAAAATAAGCATAATTCATAAGTAAAATTCATGTTTTAAAGAAAATTAATAGTGCATCTTGAGTTTGAAGATAGTACAAGCCTATAAAAAGAAAAAGGGCAATCTTAATCTCCTCACAAACAATTAAAATTCCAGTTTAGTCTCAATGTGACCAATTTAGTCTTATGAGTTTTACATTTCTTTAATTTAGTCACTCAACTATACAAAATTGATCCAAAATAATCCCTCAGACAAAATTGAGGTCAATTTTGTATAGTTGAGGAACTAAATTGGAGAAATGTGATCTCTGAGAATAAGTTAGCCACATATGAAAAGTAATGAGATCCAAGTTTGTATAGTTGATGTCCCAAATCAAAAAGTTAATTAGCAGCATTGCACTAGGCATCCTTAAAAGTGCACTAGGCATTCCACAAAAGGTTCGCCATTTGATACTTTATTCAATTACATGGAGGCAAGAAAAACAAGATATATCACATGGAGGCAAGTAAAATAAGATAAATCCATGTACGATGCTGTAACTTGTGAGTAGTTAATGCAGAAAGACGATAAATCGCTTAAAACAAATGTAAAATATATAATTAAGAAGGACAAAACTTACAAGCACACAATAAAGATTGTGACATTAAAGTAAATATTTTATTAAAACCAATGCGACATGAATCTTGATTTTACCTTTCCAGGACTTGGTACGGATCAACAACAAGCTCCAGTTTCCCATCTACCCAAAGAGAAAATCGGGCATTTGGGAAAAGTCTATGTAGCAATAACTTGGGCACCTAAACAATAGCGTATATAATTAGAAGTTTCATTTTTTAGGTAGCGTAAAAAATTTAAAAAACTCTTGGCTATCTAAAATATCATTAACAGTATAAAAGAAGTGGAGGGTAAGCAAAGGTGCAAGAGTTTGGAAGCCATCCGTTTAACCTCAGAATCATGTATTGGCACAATGAAATGAACGTCTTCGTTAGTAGGAATAAAGCTCAATGTATCAAGTACTCTTCATAACCCATAGATGGTGGGAAACTTGTGTGCAAGGTGTGTTCTTTTTCATATAAATGAAAAGAAAAAAAAATTACACAGCTTGATAAGCATCCATACTCAGAAACAAAACAGCTCATCAACAAATTATATTTGAAAGGAACAACATAAAATTGCCAATTGTCAAAATGGTCAAAATCTTGTAAAGTGACATTCTCTCAATTTGAACACATTTTACATAAGTATTTCTATCCAGTGTGAATGCTACCAAGACCAAACTTAGCATTCTCTCAATTGCATTTTACACAGGTATTTCTATCAAATATGAATGCTAACAATACCCAAATTTATTCTAACCTAAGATTGCCTTTTAAGGATCATCCAAACTATTCAGTCATGTTAATTTGTTGATCGATGGTCACTCAGGTAAATAGATCTGGATAAAAATGCCTTCCAATCTTTACTTTCGATTCTTATTGATGGTTCTTGGTTGCACTTGCTCCAATTTCTGCTAGGTATATTCATTATTTAATTTTTGGATGCGTTCATAAAATTTAATTGAATTTTCAATTGAACATTTCACATAGACCTTGAAATCACTTAACACTTCAACAAGAGTGTATGAGTTTATTATTTTGCAACGTCATTTGTCCACCAACAAATAACAGATGTTAATAAAATGCAGCACAACCGATTCTAGCTGCGTAAATAACATGCTCATAAACACAGTCTCAGGTTGGATCTTGTTATTATGCCACTAATAAGCATCAACTGCAAATACTGGGATTAAGAAGTTGAAGCACAAAACAATATTGAGAAGAAAGTTTTATATACATAACAATCAATTCTTATTTATTTACATATCTTAACTCCTAAACTTCAATTTTTACATATATTCCATGACGCAACGAGTGCGGGTGCTTAAAGCGCCCCGAACCTGGGGCGCTTCTATCTCGAGGGACAGAAGTCCCACAAAGCTTCGCCGAATAGCAGGGCGGGACAAGATAGCAACGCGCGAAGGAGAAAGAGGTGGATGGCGAATCGCGATCCAATGGCTGTTTCACTTACCTTCAACACCCGTCTTCTTCTGGAAGAGTTTTCTTTTGGATTCTTCTTACCTTCCCACTCCCCTCCTTTTTGTGTAGAAGTGAAAGGCTATAATTAGTTGTCCCCTGTGTGTGGGAGGCAGTTCTAATGGAGTCTTCTAATCTTCTGTATGGAATCTCTTCCCTCTTGTTAGAGTTGTATCTGATGACAGATGGTGTTTCGGTTGTATTCTACTCCGGGGCGGTGTTATAAACTTCCATTATCCTTTGCTTCTTCTCACCGACCCCTTTTCCTACCTCTTCGCTAGCTACCTACCACCCTCATACGCCTCCACCACTCTACCGCCACTTTTACTTCCCCCACAACCTTGTCCTACCTACCTACAACCAACCAAACACCATGACAATTTACCCAAACAACCACTCAACCTTTCTCACCTTGACCTACCACCCCACTGACGTCACCACCGTCTTCAAACATTCTCCTACATCCCAAACCAGGGGATTCATCTATTATTGTATTTCCTTTCTATTTGAGTCGTATTATAATCGTATTTCTATATTAATAAAAGTTTGTTTTTGTGTCCCACTATTCTTCCTACTAGTTCCGTTATCATTTGATATCAGAGATAGCTCAACCCTAGTACTATCCTAGGGTTTCCCAACATCAGCCCCTACCCAATTCACCTGCATCAATTTTTTTCCTTCTAATTCTCAACCCTAACTATGCCACCACGGAGAGATGCACCATACTCAACCCGGAAAGAGATTCAACGAGAAATCTGTTGACTACAATGAAGATTAGCATAGTTGGATGACGGAAACCAGGAAGAGATTACCTTCGATCGTGATCGAGAGAGTCGAAGGGAAGACACGGAGGAGGAGATTAATCTGTTCCACTGGGAAGATCACAGTGACAGAACATCAGTCGCGCAGCTTTGGTATCCAATATCAAAAGAAGCCGAGAGAAGAAACCCCTTATGGAGGTCAGCAGGACTGGCATCAAGATGGACCTTCCAGAGTTGGAGGGAAGCATGGAACTCGATGAGTTTATCAACCCGCTGCAATCAGTCAAATGAATCTTCAAGTATAAGAACGTACCAGAGGACAGTGAGTAAAGCTAGCTACAATTAATTTAAAGAAGAATATCTCCTTATGGTGGGAAAATCTACGAAGACAGGGGAGGAGAGAACGAAGTGAAAGATAACTGTGGGAAAATGTGAAGAAGACAATGCAAAAGAAATACCTCTCACCACAGTATCGCCGAGGCATGTTTTTGAAACTCCACAACTTGCAACAACTAGATCTATCAGTTGAGTTCAAGACTCAGTTCGACCACCTGTAGCTAAAGTGCAAGCTAACAAAACTAGAGGAGCACGTGATCACCAAATATCTAGGAGACCTAAAGCCCGCCATTAGCAATGTGGTACGACTACAACCATACTGGATGTTGGGGGATGTCCAGACAGTAGCCTTGAAGGTAGAGAGGCAATAGAAGCAAAGCAGGCAACAGTCATCGTTCAGGCCACCACCTTCAGCTAAGAAGTCATCTACAACTTCTACAGCCGACAAGGGTACCTCGGGAGAAAATAATAGAATAGGACAAGAGATTGATAAGACAGATCGGAGCGGAAAGAAGCCAAAGAAAGGTAGTTCCTCCAATACAGTGCCAGTCAGATGGAAATTTATATATTCTCTTAGCAGTGGACTATGTATCCAAATGGATAGAAGTTGTTGCTTTACCTCGATGTGATGCTCAAAGTGTTGCAAAATTTTTGAAAGGAACATATTTTGTAGATTTGAGATGATGAGAGTTATCATTACTGATGGGGAAAGTCATTTCAGAAATGCCATAATGGAGAAGTTATTAAAGAAATATCATATAAATCATAGGATTGATACTGTTTATCATCCTCAGACAAGTGATTTGGCTAAATTATCTAATCGGGAAATTAAAAGAATTATGGCAAAATCTGTAAATCCAACAAAAATGTATTGGTCAGTCAAACTTGACTATGTTTTATGGGCTTATAGGACTGCATACAAAACTCCTATAAGAATGTCCCCATATAGACTAATATTTGGGAAAGCTTGTCACTTACCAGTTGAACTTGAACATAAAGCATATTGGGCGATTAAAGAGTTCAATTATAATTTGAAAGATGCTAGTGAAAAGGTTTTTGCAATTACATGAGCTTGAAGAGATAATGAATCTTATGAGAGTGCCAAAGTTTATGAAGAAAAGATGAAGATGTGGCATGATCAATGGATTCTTACTAAAAATTTTTAGTCAGGGCAACAAGTTTTGCTATATAATAGAAGTTGTTGCTTTGATGGTGGAAATCAGAGGAGAGTCCAGAAGAAGTGCTTCAGCTCCACGAAGGAGGAGAAGCACTAATCGTACGACGAATACTGCAATCCGAGCCCGAGTGGGATCAATCTTGGTTAAGGCATAATATTTTTCGCACCAAGCGCACCATCAAGGGGAAGGTCAGCAACCTAATCATCGACGGTAGGAGATGCGAGAACATGGTGTCCACGCTCATGGTAAAAAATGTTAAGATTGGCCACAAAAGCATCCCCAACCATATTCTCTTATATGGCTGAAGAAAAAAAGAGATGTGTGGATCAACAATGTCTAGTTGATTTCTCCATCAAAGACCAGCTACACAAATAAGTATGGTGCGATGTGGCGTCTGTCACATTCTGTTAGGTAGACCTTGGCAGTTTGATCGTAAGACTCAACACGACAGGTTCAAACACACTTATTCTTTCCAGAATGATGGAAAACATATAGTTTTATTACCTACTAAGAATGCAAAAGTTGGAGAGAGAAAATAAGAGGGGAATTTCTTAGATTCAAAATTTACTTAAATGATTGAATTTAACGAAAACACTAACACAACCTAGGCATTTATAGAAGAGAATAAGCGAGTATGATTGAATGATTATCCTTGATTTTAGCCATCCCTCCTAAAGTCAAGGCATCTACTTAGAAGAAGGATTAGAAGAAGGATAACTATGAATGCCTATATAATAACTTAAAGGGTAAGAGCACCTCCTTATCAAAAGCAAAGATTTATCTATTTTGTTCAGAGAATATTGTAAGTTTGAATATTTTGGGTTGTAATTTACTTGGATCTTGCATTACTATCTCCTTTGTAGTGTGCCTTTTAAGGTAGTTATTTCACAGACCCTGTTAAATTTGCTTTAGAATTAAGTTGATAGCTCCTAAATCAATACTCTCATCTTAGAAGCAATATGAATCTTCAAGTAGTTAGAGATGTAAATCATCTTCTAGCTCTACTATTACATTTGTGATGGCTTGACTTTGCATCGCTGTTTCCTTTTATGTGCTTTGCCTTGGATGGCAAGGAGCTAGTTTCATTTGTTCTTGTCGGGATGGGAAGAAAGCTTCTTCTCCTGCTCTTGCTGAGGTTAGAAACAGGGCTTCTTCCACTAATGGCTTCTCATAGCTCATTTTTTGTTCCAATACTCCAAAGTTTTTGGATGTGGAGTGTTATTGCAAATAGATGGATGCAGAGGATCTCGTACCTTCAGCAGATGGTCACAACTCTCTGTGTCCAATGTGTTGCCCAATAATATCAGATTTTATGATAGATTACTTAGCAATTATTAACATTAAAATCATAATCAAACAAGAATCAGAAAGAGACATGATAAGACTGGTTAAGGTTTGACTAGGAGCTGAAGAAGAATTAGCTTGAACGATAAATCAAGTTGATGAGGAT